ATCTAATATAACTTTCAGCAGATCAAGGTGCCAACACATTATTTTTTTAATAACATTGTCTTATCTCTCAAATTACAGAGAGAGTTTGGTGGAATTTTTCTTTCTTTGTTTTGTTTTGGGGTTCTTTTGCTTTCACTTATACAAGAAAGCATGGTCCTTGATTCAGCTTAAGTGATGCAATTTGGTGTGGATTATATATTTTATAGAGGACCTTTTGGAATGAACACAAACAAAATATACAAGTGGACTCTTTTAATTCTTAAAGTTCTGTGAGTATTCATTCTCAGTATAATTATTCTGAGACACAACTTAGAAAATATGAAAAAGATAAGGTACTTTTAATTCTTTAGCTGAAGCTTAAAACCCTGTAATTATGCAGTATTTCAGGTCCACCTGGGTATTTATATTACAAATTATTCCATAATACCTTCGATATTTTACATTGGTTATAAGAAAAGGAATTTTTTTTATAAATTTTACACAATATGCAAATAAAAGTGAAAATTATCAAAAGGAATACTCCTAGGACATTCATTACTCTCTCTGTATCAATTAATTTTCCAGATCATTGTGGATAATTCTAACAGACATCTTAGTTTATATTCAATGCTTTGTCTTTTTGCTATTAAAATGCAATTTTTAGTAAGTGAGATTTAAAGCCTAAGAGTGACAAAAAGAGTTTGGTTTAACTACAACTGCCTGATGAACATATTCTTAGTAGAAAAATCTTAATTTGTCTCATTCCTAAAACCCATTGAAGCTAATGTTCCATTACAAGAACTTTATTCTCATAACTAAAGGACAGAACACATAGTAAGCTGGTAAAAATGCTCAAATTAACTTCAAAAAGTTCTACCTAATAATTAATTATGTTAAATACATGTAACTTTATTCAGCCATGATTCTGATTTCTCCCTTTTTTTTTTTTCCTTTGGTAGGCAGAGAAGGACTGTACAAATCTGGAATGCTTACTTTCATTCTAAATCTAACTGCTCTCAGAATCTTTGCATATACGTATTAATTATTTAACTGGACTGTAACCATGACAATATTGATAGCATATGTAGAATAAATAGGAAACTACTTACCCAGGAAATGTCAACACAGGATAATTTAAATTCTCAGATGTGACCAAGCCATTAATTATTAATAATGTTTCTTATATTATTATCTACTACAGGTTATTTTTTTCAGTTGTTTTTTCCCTGTTATACATTTGTCTATCAGTAGTCTCAAACATTTAACAGTCGTGACATGTAAAAGGTTAAACTTGACAGTTGTCCTTTAGATTATATTGCTTTAAATGCCAAAGTGTGTCTTTCTATTTAAACCTTCTTCTGGGGAAAATATTAATTGAGGAATAGTGTTCACGATTTAATATGGAAATATTAAATTGCAGCCATATTATCTGAAATTACTGTTTGGAGTTCAAATCAGAGCAATCAGGTGCTGTCCTTTGCAAAACTTGGCATTCATTCCAAAATACTATTTTATTTCCTGCCTATTTTCTCAGTTACTTTCCTGCTTTATTGTTCACAGCTTTCATTCATTAGAATCAATACCAAGGTGCACTAGGGCTATAAAACGAGCTTTTTCAACAATTTGGGGACAGTGCTGACAATGGTTGTCACTTGTTAAATGCATTTCAGATGAGTGAGATGGAAGCTCAAGTTCTACCATGCGCTGGCAGTTTCTGTCAGGTGGGACAGGTTATTGATGACATTTACTGCTGGATAAAACCTAAAGGAAATCAATAAATTTGATTTATTGTCAATATGTTTGGTGAAGAGGGGTGGAGAAGGGTTTCTTTGGTAGTCACAGGACTCCATTTAGATGTATTTTTCTACTTATTTCACAGCTACAATGTGTGCAGAACACTTCCTTCCTCTTTATTACTATTGTTAGAGCAGCGACAAAATCACCAGTATCTTTAAAAAGAAGATTGAAGCGGCCAATGTTAGTCAGTCAAAGGGCTGTTTCTACATCTACATATATATTTGTAGATCTTCCTCTAGATTATATGAGGGTTAAAACTATACTATTAAAATATCCCAAATACAAAAACTGAAAAATCAACAATTGCAAATAAATATAATCTCAACCTAATATAAGAAAAAGGTCATTTCTATAGGCCACTAACTAATGCTCAACTTCTAGAATGCTGATTTTCTGTCAGAATTGCATGTTAGTTTAACCTGTGTGCTGCTTTAAAAGCAATTAGAGCCAGTGCTGGTGAAGGAAGGGGGTGGTGGTGGTTGAAGAGAAGGGCTGGACATTGTTGCATCATTTGAGTAACATGTGACAGGGAAGTTGATACCTGGCAATTTTGTGCTGTTTGGGTAGTACAGCTACCTTCACACTTCAGGATACCACTGGTCTCTAATCTTATCTGCCAGGTACTGGGACCTTTGGAGACAACACCTACAAACCTGTCTTTAGCTGGAATTCCTTACACTTCCCTTCCCTTCCCTTCCCTTCCCTTCCCTTCCCTTCCCTTCCCTTCCCTT